GGGAAAGAGGGAGAACCAGTAGAGCACTGTTGCAGAAGTGGCAAGGTGGGGGTGGTCACTAGGGCCACAGGCTGCCAAGCACGGGAGCAAATGCAGTCTGAAGGGAGACCTTGGGGTTTGGTCACTTGTGAGCCCTCTGTGAGCAGGTCCTAAGAAGACGTGGAGGCGGGAGCCAGGCTGACCATACTCAGGACCAAGCAAGTGGGAAGAAGGGGGCAAGTCGTGTCTGACCACATTAGACCAGCTTGTTGGGGAAAGGACCAGAGCTGGACAATACCTGTCAGTTATTTCATGGAAAAGGAGTACTGGTTAGGTGTTCTTAGTCTCCAAAGGGACAGGGTAAATTGGGGAAACTCCTTCCATTAACTCAGTAATTACTGAGCACCTACCATGTGCCAGGCAGAAACTGATTGGAGCTGAGACTGTCATGGCAAATGAAATGGACACAGTCCCTACTCCTCTAGTCCAGTGGGGAGAACAACAGTAAACATGTCCATGGATGGAGGAACACAAGTATCGTGGATGACGACAATGCTCTGAAGGGGTTTAACAGGGAGAAGGGATAGAGAGGGCTGGGTGAAGGCCTGAGGAGGTGGTGTTTCTGCTGAGACCTGAAAAGTGAGATGGTTGGGAAGAAGTAGGGGAAAGGCATTCCCAGCAGAGGGAGCAGCAGGTGCAAAGTCCTGAAGCAGAAAGGGCTTGTCGTGTTTGAAGAACAGGGACGGGGAAATGCTGGCAGGTAGAGGCCAGAATATTGCAAGGCCTTGTGGTGCAACGGGAGATCATCTAAGGCCTTTTGAGCTGGGAATGACATGATAAAACAAACTTTAAAATGTCACACTGGCTGTCTTGGAGAGAATGGATCACAGTGGCACAACCCAGTGGAAGACCAAGTAGGAGGCTACCGCATGAGTGCAGGTGGCTTGGTCTAGGATGGTGTCAGGAAGATGCAAATAGTCTCATTAACATAAATGCTTTGGAGGATGGGTTGGGAGAGGTTAAGTTTTGGAGCCTGGAAGGAACATGGCACCTGGTGAGGTGAGAATTGGATGGGCCAATTGGGAAAGGATGCAGGGGTCAGACCCTGTTGTGAGTGTGGCTTGGATCTCAGCTATACTCTTTGCTCTATCCAGCTCATCATCCATGGCAGCTTCGCTCTGGTCCAGCTGCCCCATTTCCACATCTTCTTCCTGGTCCCAGTACTTATCTATATGGGGGACAAGCTGGTGAGCCTGAGCCGGGAGAAGGTGGAGATCAGTGTGGTGAAGGCGGAGCTGCTGCCTTCAGGTACCAACATAGAGGCTGTCAGGGGAGCAGGCTGGTGGTGCTGAGGACGCTGACAGGCCAGGGGCAGAGCCTGGACCTTGAAATCTCCTGGCCTGGCCCAGTGGAGTTAGCAGGGTCCTTGAGGTGGTAGGGATGAGGGAGCTGGTAAGAGAGGCTCTTTGCCAGGGGACCTGAGCCTCTCTCACAACAGAGAGAGGAGGAGCCCAGGCCAGGCTGACCACCAACCCCAGTGCTGCCCAGCGCCCGCTCAGGGTAGACGTGGCCTGAGGGGAGTAATGACCTCTGATTGCGGGAGGCCTCCTCTGTCATATTCCAAAAGCAGAGCTGAGGCTGCAGGTTGGGGAACTCTCTAGGGGTCACATTGTTGCTGGGTTCAGGACAGCCGCCTCCCACCCACCTCCCCTCCTCAGGAGTGACCCGCCTCGAGTTCCAGCGGCCCCAAGGCTTTGAGTACAAGTCAGGACAGTGGGTGCCGATCACCTGCCTGGCTCTGGGGACGAATGAGTACCACCCCTTCATCCTGACTTCTGCGCCCCACGAGGACACGCTTAGCCTGCACATCCGGGCAGCAGGGCCCTGGACCACCCGCCTCAGGGAGATCTACTCACCCCCGACGGGTGACAGCTGTACCAAACATCCAAAGGTGCCCATCACTGGGAACCACTTTTGGGGTTCTGGCATTGATAGAAGGTCCCCACCCTCCCCGACCTTGGGATACGATGCTCCAGCCACCCCAAAGCCAGACTGGGAGAGGGCTGGGGTGCCTCAAAGGAACTAGTTCTCCCTGTCCTCCCCGCCCCCCCCCCCCATTTCTAACCTCAGAGCTGGGGAAGGGCCGGGCTCATCTCATCTTCCTCTTCTGTTGGCAGCTGTACCTCGATGGACCATTTGGAGAGGGCCACCAGGAGTGGCATAAGTTTGAGGTGTCCGTGCTGGTGGGAGGGGGCATTGGGGTCACCCCCTTTGCCTCCATCCTCAAAGACCTGGTCTTCAAGTCATCCTTAGGCAGCCAAATGCTCTGTAAAAAGGTGCGTGTCCCTCTCCCATTCTTCAAAGAAATGGGGACAGACAGCCTGATTGTGTCGCCACATCCCAGCAGATGTAGCATGATAAAAGGTCCCTGGCTCCTAGGCAACTGGTTCTGCTGGGACCATTCATACCCAGTTGCCCAGATGGCAAACATTTGAGGGAGGGTAGAAGGTGTAGCCAAGAAGAGCCTCTGCTGGGATCTGTGGCTAAGAAGCCTTGGATCAGGCCTGTGGGTCCTGCCAGAGGTTTGGTGCCTGTGGGGGGTCCAGGGCTTCCCACCATCTCAGTATAAGCATCTGGGTAGAGGAACCTTGAGCTGAGCTGAGTCAGAGCTCTAGTTGTGTGTCCGCAGACCTACTTCATCTGGGTGACACGGACCCAGCGGCAGTTTGAGTGGCTGGCTGACATCATCCGGGAGGTGGAGGAGAACGACCACCAGGACCTGGTGTCCGTGCACATCTACGTCACCCAGCTGGCTGAGAAGTTCGACCTCAGGACCACCATGCTGGTACGTCAGGGCCGGCCAGGCAGGCCAGGCAGCTCAGTGGGTGTGTGGGTTGAGGGTAAGGATGGCCAAGGCAGGTGGGTGGACCGCCATCTGGACTAGGAGCTGACCCTGGCTCTGCCTGGCTGTGGCCTTCCTCCTCTACTCCCGCCCCCAGTACATCTGTGAGCGGCACTTCCAGAAGGTGCTGAACCGGACCGTGTTCACGGGCTTGCGCTCCATCACCCACTTTGGCCGACCCCCCTTCGAACCCTTCTTCGACTCTCTGCGGGAGGTCCACCCAAAGGTCAGTCCCACCCCATATTCAGGTTTTCTTCACCCTTATTGTTTGGGGTCTGAGCAAAGCTCCCAAACCTGCTCCATAAGGGAAGGAGAATCCACCCCCAGGGATATTGGTGGGGTAATGGAATGGAAGGGGAGAGGTGTGGGTCACCCTGGGGGGCAAAGGGAGGAATCAGGCATCAGGGACTTGCCACCTCTGAAGCTGTGATGCCTTGTCCAGAAGGAAAGGCTCAGTGGTTGGGCTGGTCCTCACCATAGACTCAGAGTTATCCTTACCACTAATGCTGTCCAGCCCTCACCCTGGACACCAAGCTAACCTTCACCATGAACACTATACTAGCCACACTCTCATAAAAACTGGGCTAGCCCTCAATGAGATGCTAAACTGTCCTCAACTTGGACAATGATTAACCTGGCCCCTATTGGAAACACTGATCTTGCACCTGAAGCTAGCAAATGCATTGGAAAACGGTAAAGGCTGGATGCACAGAGAGCAAGTCTACCAAAATTGAGTTAGTTTTATAAACATTGAGGCAGCCCTCACCATGCATGGTACGAAGCAAACCTTCATCAGGAACACGGAATAGTCCTCACCAAGGACTCTTGCTGGTCTTTAACATGAACATGGAGCTAGCCCTCTGAACACTGAGCTAGCCTTCACTTCTTCCTCCAACAGGTCCAGAAGATCGGGGTGTTAGCTGTGACCCCCGTGGCATGACCAAGAATGTGGAAAAGGCCTGTCAGCTCATCAACAGGGAGGACGGGATTCATTTCTCCCACCATCATGAGAACTTCTAGGCCTCCTACCCAGGGCCTCTGCCCACTGCCCAGCTGAGCAGAGGTTTGGCCCCATAACTCACCTCTAGCTTTCCTGTTTCTGGCTCCCTCAGCCGTCTCCCCATTCGCACCTCCCAACCTTGGTCCAGGTGGCCATGGGTAGTCACCTCAGGCAGGTTCAGGGACTCCCAGGCCCGGAAGGTCTCAGCCTGGAGAAATGCAAGGCACTGTGTGGGGACTAGAGGTTGGGAGGTAGGAGAGCTATTATTGCTTTGGGGCAAAGTGACACCTCTTCTTCCAAAATAAGAAAAAAAATCAAAAGACTGGAGCAGACAAATTGTGTGTGTGTGTGTGTGCGTGTGTGTGTGTGCGTGTGTTTAGGGGACTGTGAGCCTAAGGATGAAGTGGGAGCACAGATGCTGGCATCCTAAAACCCCTTCCCCCAAATCTCCCCTCCTCTGAGCTCCCCACTGTCAAAAGGACTGGCAAATGCCTTAGAGAGGGTAGAGGGTAGACCCACAGAGAGCAATTTACAGGACCCCCTCAGCACCCCATTCTAACAGCACAGTTGATCTTTTCTGCCAACTTTTTAAACGTGTACTGTAGTCAAAACCTGCCCCAACAGGCCTCAGTGCTCCTCAGCTCTTCTCTCCTCTTCCTGCTCCAATAGCCTTTTATAAATAAGCCACTTTCCTGCCTTAGGGTTTCTTTATTCTGCTGCAGGGTGGGGTCCTCACGCAGCCAGCTCACCAAGGCTGGTCCACATGTTCTCTTTGAGCTTGCCTCTACCCACTGACTAAGGGAACCCCTCCAAGGCCAAGCGCCCCAGCTAGAGACCCCTTCCCCTGCCCAGGGGCACTTTTCCTGACAGGCGGCCTCTCAGGGCGGCTAGCGTGGGGCTCCTGAGGCCTGGTCAGGAGGGGCAGAGGGAGGTGTGAGGGCTTCTGGTGACGGTGGGCACTAAGAAGGGAGCAGTGTAGCAAGACACAGCAGGAGTCTACAGGGAGCCAGAGTTCACTGGCTTGCTCCAGGACCTCAGTTACTCCCGGTCCTCTGAGCCATGGAAGGGTGGAGCACCTGTGCCTGTATGAGTCTTCTGTGTAGTGAGATGACAGCAAGGAGACTGATGAGCACATCACCTAACCTCTTTGGGCCTCTGTTTTCTCATCTGCAAAATAACTGAATGCCCTCCAAGTCTACTTAAGGATAGGGCAACCTCTGTGATGGAATGTTTGAAGCAGGACTCAATTTCAAGTGATCCTTTCCACTGTCCCCACAGAATTCTTGCATTCGTCAGATCACATATCCTCGATTTCGAGAAACTAGCCACTGGATTAGAAAATCCAAATTCCTGTGCTTCACACCACGCTTGGGAGTTGCAGGTATCGGTTCTGGAGGAGGCTCTCAGGCTGCCCTCCTAGGACAGCGTCCCGAGGGTGTTAGTTCAGC